GGGAAAAATCCTTTTTGAAAACTATCATTGTTTTACCATAATTCGTTGCACATCCTGTAATTGGTTATTAATGGAATTTATATTTCGTCGTCGATCTGTCAGATTTTTCTTTGTTTTTTGAATGTACACGTCGAACTCTATGAAGGCGTATGGACGAGTCACGGTATTAACTTTCCGACCATAGTTTTTGTGAAATTCTTGGGCCAAATCTTCCAAATATGTGAATGCAGAACGTTTGGAAAATATCTTGTCGCACATTACCAAGTAGCACACCTCGTTTTCAATCAAATAACTGAAGTGAAATTTTAATGAATTGAAAATGAAGGGTGATAATTATTTCCATACTTACTGAAATAGATATGGGCCCGTCTCAATCGAACCTGGTCGAAAGAGAAATGAAACGGAAGATTGAGTCGTAGTTTCAATTGAACCCATTGGTTTCATTTAATAAAAATCTACGAACATCTGTATATTATTTCCATACTTACATTGATTGGGTGATTGTGGGCCCAATTTTCGGAATAGCATTTTGGCTTGATTTTGATATTCCAACACGCTCTTTCCTGACTGAATAAAATTGAATATGTTTCGCATATTAATCATCAATATAATATTATTTGTATGAAATCTCATATTTTACTTACCTGTTCATCTTCGGTCATGGTCCCAACAAGTGGTAAGCCATCAACAACTCGTGCTATCATCGTCATCAATGCCATTTTCGGCTGTTGACTTGCTTTTTATTGTGCACTAGTTGAAATTAATCAATCTTATCTTGATGGTCTGTTGAATTTTGAAACACACTATATATAATAACTGCTCCAGAATATAGCTTTCTATTCTCAATTATTATTCTTATTTTATATTTCGAACTCGCATACTAGATTTGTTATATTGGTAAGTTAACTAGAATTTCTCTATAGAATGCAAGCAAATACTTTCAGTCGAAAAAGAATTTCTGTCGTTGTGTCGTTCCTCAACACGTCATCTGTCATAACACACGCACACAACCACAGACACCGACACAGTTATTTGCTTGAAGTTCAGTCATTGGAAACATTAAAATAATTTGGCGCTAACTGTCTGTTTGTACCTCTCAAAATTGCTATTGAATTTACTTCAAGCACATATATATATTGTGCTACTTAAAATAGCCAAATGTTCTATTTTCATTAAGGCTGAAAAATAAAAAAATTCTTCTTAAGATGTGTGCGACGTTCTTTTCCCTGACTGCATACAACGCCAACTTTACCAACAGCGGAAGTCATGTAAACAATCGAATGGCATAGAAAATTGAAAGTTCCATGTTGGCATTT